AAATATTAGTTTCTTGTTTATAATAATAATAATAATTCATAATCTCAAAATATCAAGATATTATTTATAAAGTCTTCAGGTTCTTTTGTAAATATCTATTTCAGTATTATATGGATTACCTTACACCTCACTGCTGTTATACGTCCAGCGTTTTGGCCGATTCACTTTTCTTTGCACATGTGTCTGTCGTCTGACTCGATAACACAGGGATTTCGAACTGAAAACTTTACACGACGATAGCTTTTTCTCAATCCGCTTAGGGGATATTTCGTATCAGTCAATGCCAGTTTCATTTGTCTTAATGTCGAAGGTCTGTTTCTTGCACTGAATCAGAGTATGTGATTTTTCAGAACTACCATATCCAGGGATCGAACTCGCAACTCTCAGCGAACTAGATATGATTTGACCAGCGCTGTAATATTTTGTCCAAACTTGTGGTTTTAAAAGAAAATGGGTTAATGTTGTGGTAGGATCCACCTAATTTACATAGTGGAGTACCGACCATATAAATATGGTTGGTACCGGGAAGAGAGGGAGGAATCAAGAGATTCAATCCAGAGACTCTGCCCGACTGCGACTCAGTCAACACATTCTCCAGGAACGGTCTTACCAGGAATATACAAAAGACTATATGTAAATATTGTGTACACTTTCTTGTTTCAATACATTTTGTTTTAAATACATTTTGTGTTGCATTATTATTCCATGCATTAGTCAAGTTTCAACAGTTAGTTACAAAGTAACAAAGGCTACTGAGTGCGATTGCAGTCACATCTGAGGAAGGTACAATAAAGGTGAGCATACCTTTGCTGAATAACAAACTATGAAATAATAAAAGTCAGAGATTCCGATGTTAATTTGAATAAGATTTTTGGCTACATTTCCTTTTTTGCGAAACGCTTTCCAAAAAAAAAAAAAACAAAAAAAAAAACAAAGAAAAAGAAATATTTTTGCTTGATTTTTGAGACGTTATATATCATTCATAATTTCATAAGTTTTTCCGTTTTCTTTCGGAATAAACTTGTTTCGTATCTATTTTCCTTTATTTCTAATTAAAGCATCAGAAAGCTCTTTCATAAAGCTGTTTGTTTGTTCGTGTTTTTTTTTTCTTTTTGGTTGTTTCTTTCTTTCTCATGTGATTACGTTCTTTCTTTCTTTCTTTCTTTCTTTCTTTCTTTCTTTCTATTCCGGGTCACTTGCTTCCATTTCTCGTTCTTTCTTTCTTTCTTTCTTTCTTTCTATTCCGGGTCACTTGCTTCCATTTCTCGTTCTTTCTTTCTTTCTTTCTTTCTTTCTTTTCTTTTCTATTCCGGGTCACTTGCTTCCATTTCTCGTTCTTTCTTTCTTTCTTTCTTTCTTTCTTTCTTTCTTTCTTTCTTTCTATTCCGGGTCACTTGCTTCCATTTCTCGTTCTTTCTTTCTTTCTTTCTTTCTTTCTTTCTTTCTTTCTTTCTTTCTATTCCGGGTCACTTGCTTCCATTTCTCGTTCTTTCTTTTTCTTTCTTTCTTTCTTTCTTTCTTTCTTTCTTTCTTTCTTTCTATTCCGGTCACTTGCTTCCATTTCTCGTTCTTTCTTTCTTTCTTTCTTTCTTTCTTTCTTTCTTTTTTTTTTTCTTTCTTTCTTTCTATTCAGGTCACTTGCTTCCATTTCTCGTTCTTTCTTTCTTTCTTTCTTTCTTTATTTCTTTCTTTCTTTTCTTTCTATTCCGGTCACTTGCTTCCATTTCTCGTTCTTTTTTCTTTCTTTCTTTCTTTCTTTCTTTCTTTCTTTCTTTCTTTCTATTCAGGTCACTTGCTTCCATTTCTCGTTCTTTCTTTCTTTCTTTCTTTCTTTCTTTCTTTCTTTCTATTCCGGGTCACTTGCTTCCATTTCTCGTTCTTTCTTTCTTTCTTTCTTTCTTTCTTTCTTTCTTTCTTTCTTTCTAGTTATTTAGTTCTTCCGAAAATATCTTTCATAATGCAGTTTGTATGTTCTTTATTTTTGTTTGCTTGTTTTTCCCTTTTTTCCTTTCTTTCTTCCTTCCTTCCTTCCTTTTTTTCTTTTTCCTTTGTTTGTTTGTTTCTTTTCTTTTTTTTATAAATACAAAGCATCCTGAGATATTCTTTCTTTCTTCAATTTTACTAAAATCAACGTCTGTCATTCTCTTTCTTTCTTTCTTTCTTTCTTTCTTTCTTTCTTTCTTTCTTTTTTTTCTTTCTTTCTTTCTTTTTTTTCTTTCTTTCTATCTAGTTATTTAGTTCTTCCGAAAAAATCTTTCATAATGCAGTGTTTGTTTTTTATTTTTGTTTGTATGTTTCTCCCTTCTTTCTTTCTTTCTTTCTTTCTTTCTTTCTTTTTGTTTGTTTGTTTGTTTCTTTTTTGTTTGTTTGTTTCCTTTCTTTCTTAAATACAAAGTATCCTGAGACATTCTTTCTTTCTTCAATTTTCCTAAAATCAATGTCTTTCTTTCTTTGCCTCTTTCTTTGTTTTTTCTTTGTTTGTTTCTTTCTTTTTTCTTTGTTTGTTTGCTTGATTGTTTTCTTTCTTTATTTCTTTCTTAAATACAAAGTATCCTAAGACATTTTTTCTTTCTTCAATTTTACTAACTACAATCAATGTCTTTCTTTCTTTCTTTCTTTCTTTCTTTCTTTCTTTCTTTCTTTCTAGCTATATAGTCCGAAAACTTTTTTTAATAATGCAATTCGTTCGTTTCGGTTAAGTTCTTTGTAACTCAGTCGGTTAGAGCACGTCGGGGCTAACGACGATTCCCTCTGCCTATGGTGATGAAGGTTCGAATGCTGTCGAAGAGCGCATATTTTTCTTTAATAAGATTTCTCAAATATTCAGTCCTGTAGACGAAAATAAGTATACAGCTTAAATAAAATAAAAAAAAAAGAAAAACGCAGCGTCTCTTCATATACAAGTATCCACTAAAAATAACGTTTAAATTGATAAAATCAGTCGGATGTTGTCCTAAAGAAGGATGTTGGGAATACGATTGGCGGATCATATTGTGAAACAAGGGGGTAAAATGTAAACGACATAGAATCAGAAAGAGTCTCTTGAAATTCCTGTCATCCATTATGAAGAAAAAGGGCTTGTAGACTTTAACTCTCGAAGGTCATACTGAAATCAAGATTGAGAGAGAGGCAACAAAGTATACGTCGATCGCAGAATAGGGACGGGGGAGATAGTAAGGGAAAAAATTTGCTTTGGGCTACAAAGGAAAAGGATGTTGTGGAAAGCTATAATCATCCAAAGTGACCAAATAATATTTCCTTTAAGTTGCGCTACGATAATTGTTTATTGATTATGTCAGTGGTTAATAAAAACTAAATTTCTTCGATTTGCCATGTCCCTTCAAGACGTTGGATACAATGGCTCTCCACGATTTCCTGTGCTTCGTAGCTTTTAATAAATTTTGTCTTTTTGTTATGTCTTCTAAACCTTGTTCCGTCATCCATTTACCTAAGCTCGCTAGGTAGGTTATGCTTTTTTTTCTCTCTCTATCATACTTGCCTTCAATCCTTCGTGTGCGTATCAGATTTTCTAAACATTCTTTCCTCATTATGTTCACTAGAAATTTCAACTATTTCTTTCTGATGTTAAATATAAATGTCCTCCTTTTTGTTTCTATCTTCTATAAAACTTCATCGTTGCTCACATATTCTCAGCATCCTTCTGCAGAATCAAATTTCTGTTACTTCAAGTTTTTTCTTCATCTTTGAGTAGACCGTTTCAGCATTCACTGACATATAGGAGGATTAAAACTACATAAGAGTTCATCACTCTTCACCACATCATTCGCTGTCTCAATGCGTCTTATGATTTCAGTGTCTCACTTTTCGTCTTCTGCTAAGACAATTCCCTGACACTGTTGTACTTGTTTGAATTTGGTATCTTCAATTAGTACAAACTCATTTCCCGGTGTTTTGAGTGTCTCGGCTTCATCGTAATGTTTCAAAATCCAGAGATCATGTCAAACTAAAATGGCGCCTAAACCTTCGACGATTGACTTCAAAGAAAATCTAAAAACTATAAATAAAAACAGCGGAGTTAGTACAATGGACTCATGATTGTTTTATGCTCGACACGTCAGGTAGAATTCGAAAATGAGGCTAAGAAATATCAAGAGTGAAAGGAGAATAAATCTTGTTGCTATGGTGGCGGTACCGGGGAATGCGCACACAGCTTTGGGCGTTCGGTAATCTTGAAGATTTTTTTTTCTTTTTCTTTTTTTTTCTTTTTATTCATCCCCAACACTCACCTGTGCAATGAAATTTAACCTTGTTAAATTACTTCAGCTTCAACGGCGGACATGTCAGTTGTGTTCTACATATGTGTTTTCTTTTTTTAATTTGATTTCTTTGACTTCTTATTTGTGCATCGTTCCTACAATTATTTCTGTTCTTTTTTTCCTTTTTTTCTTTTAGTGTTAATGCTTTCTTTCTTTCTTTCTTTCTTTCTTTCTTTCTTTCTTTCTTTCTTCCTTCCTCCCTTCCTTTCTAAACATTTCTTTCTGTAATACTCTTCCAAAATTCTTTTCTTTTCACACGTCTTTTTCTTTCTTTCTTTCTTTCTTTCTTTCTTTCTTTCTTTCTTTCTTTCTTTCTTTCTTTCTTTGTATTTTTCATTTTTTAATAATACTCTTTACCAACGTTTCTTTATTTTTTTTCATATGTCTCTTTCTTTCTTTCTTTCTTTCTTTCTTTCTTTCTTTCTTTCTTTCTTTCTTTCTTTCTAAACATTTCTTTCTGTAATACTCTTCCCAAATTCTTTTCTTTTCACACGTCTTTTCTTTCTTTCTTTCCTTCTTTCTTTTCTTTTCTTTCTTTCTTTCTTTTTCTTTTTTCTTTCTTTGCATTTTTTCATTTTTAATAATACTCTTTACCAATGTTTCTTTTATTTTTTCCTTTTTTTTTACGTCTCTTTCTTTCTTTCTTTCTTTCGTTCTTTCTTTCTTTCTTTCTTTCTTTCTTTCTTTCTTTCTAAACATTTCTTTCTGTAATATTCTTCCCAAATGCTTCTTTCTTTTCACACGTCTTTTTCTTTCTTTCTTTCTTTCTTTCTTTCTTTCTTTCTTTCTTTCTTTCTTTCTTTGCATTTTTCATTTTTTAATAATACTCTTTACCAACGTTTCTTTATTTTTTCCTTTTTTTCATACGTCTCTTTCTTTCTTTCTTTCTTTCTTTCTTTCTTTCTTTCTTTCTTTATCTATCTATCTATCTATCTATCTATCTATCTATCTATCTATCTATCTATCTACTCTTACATTATTTCTATTATTTTGTATTTTGCATAATGTTTTATCTTTTATTATTTTTCTATTTCTTTGTCTCTTTCTTTCTTTTTTTCTTTTTACCGAGGCTTTCATGACGTTCTTTCTTTTCCCATTTTGTTGTTTTAGACATTTCCTTCTGTATATTTCTTTGTCTTTCATTAGATTTCCTCATTTTTCCTTTTTCCTCTTTTTTGCTCTTTTTAAATCATATTTCCATGAGTCTTCTCTTTCTTCCAAGAAAATCGATTATTTTTCTTCTTTTTTTTTTAATTGCTCTTTTTCAATCGACCTCATTCTCTCGGGCAACGATAATGCAGATTTCATTTCGGTATGAGAATTCCTTTTTCGAATCACATGTTTCGCAAATTATTTTTTATTTTCATTATTATTTAGATGCGTGTTTTCTCTTCTGTTTCTAAAACCCGCACAGCGCACGCGTTTTGTGTGTGTGTGTGTGTGTGTGTGCGCGTGTGTGTGTATGTGTGCGTGTGTGTGTGTGTGTGCGTGTGCGTGTGTGGGAATACGAGTGAACTGACCTTTGTGTGTCTGAATGATCTACGTACAGGCGTATGAATATATGCTTGTGTATGCATACTTCCATGTGAGTCCGAGTGTTTGTGTACGTATTTGAATATGTGTACTCGACTACGCGCTCGTGAGTGAATGTGTGATCGTATTTGTCAATTTATAATATATATATATATATATATATATATATATATATATATATATATATATATATATGAATATACAAAATAATATATGTATGAATATATTTGTAATCATATCTATATTAACTATATAACAATATATTAATATGTATGTGATGTTAACGGAAATATTTATGCACAGATATTTAATATTTAAATATGTATATATATATATATATATATATATATATATAATACATACAAATAAATTAGACATAAATTAGAAATACACAATCTATCTATCTTCTATGTTCATATCATTCACTGCTCATTATCTGTCTGTTTTTCTATTTCAGTCTCTGTTCATATCTATCAATCAATCAATCTGTCTATTTCAGTCTATTCATGATCTATCTATTTTCTGTTCATGATCTATCTATCTATCTTTCACTGATCATTATCTATCTATCTATCTATCTATCTATCTATCTATCTATCTCAGACGCTGTTCATATCGCTCCATCTGTTTTTCTATTTCAGTCTCTCTTCATATCTATAAATCAATCTATTTTTGCCTGTTCATTATCTATCTATCTATCTATCTATCTATCTATCTATCTATCTATCTATCTATCTATCTAACGAAACTGAACTCAAATAAGAATCAGTAGTACATTAACTTTACTGCAACTCAATCGTATGATGTAATAAGTAAGGAGGTAATGTATCTGTGACAATATAGCTGTGGCAGTTATTGGACGGGGCCAGCCTTTAATACCGCTTGAACCCGGAATGATTATTTGAGCCAGGAAGATGAAGCATTATATCTCCGAAAATGTAATTTTTCTTGATTTTACACCAGGGAAATACAAATAACGGACATATCTCAGCAACACGTGAAGAATACGGGCGCCCTCAGTTAATGAAATCAACTGGGGAATATTGTACCAAATCACAGACAGATTTAATACTGTTGCACCTCAATTTGTACAGAGTTTTCAACTAAAAAATGAAGAAACTCTTAATGAACAATGTTATCTGTTATTTGGCCTCTTGGGTCACTTGGGTTGATATTAGACCCTAGGTAAAGAATTTAGTGTCCACCAAGAGAGCCAGTTATGAATGAATGGTGTAACCAGCACCAGTTCATGACTGTTAAACTCTCTGCTTTGGCAGAGAGGAACCCGAACGGGGCTTTGTCGAAGGGCAAGGTCTCGTCCGGGGAGGTAGACAGATCCTGAACCATTCTAGGTGGGTTCAAAGGGTATATTTTTGGCCAAGTCTACGGGCTCGGGAAACCCACGTTAAACTCGGCCTTGTGCCACATGAAAACCTTGTGGGAGGGGGCTAGATACCAAGAGAGCCAGTTGGGTTCGAGTGTTGAAGATACCATAGGAGTCAATAAATCCAGCCTCTTAGCAGAGTTTTGAGCAAGCTGCTGCTGGTCCTGTAATGGTGTAGGTTTATTCTTTTGGAGTTAGCAAACTGGTGCCAGTCTTTATGTGGTGGAGCTTCCGGAGAGCGAACTCGTCAGTTCGAAAGATCCCGTTAAATGTGACACGGGATTAAAATCTGTTGTTTTTTTGTTGAACAGGTTAACACTTTGAAACCTTTTTAACGTCCCTGAAATCATTCTAGTACGTCTCGTGCGGGTGAGGCAGCGAGAAACGTTCTCCTATTAGTGCTATTTATGTCGGAGAGGATTCTTGCAACGTGGAAAGGTGAAGTATCCTCCTGATAATGACATTGTCATCCGAGGAGACACGTGGCAGGTTGAATTGTTCTTCTGTTAATAACATTGGCCCACTAAGAGACTCGTGCAGTGTGAAAAGGTGAAGTATTCACCTGGTAAAGATAACGGTATATTAGGAGAAATATACAGATATGGCAGTTACATTAGCACCCGAGGAAACTCGCGCAGGTGTAGCAGAGTGAATTGTCCTCATTCTAGGAGACTGGTAGGGGTGGAGCACAGTGACTTGTTCTCAATCTAGGAGACTCGTAGGGGTGGGGCAGAGTGAATTGTCCTCATTCTAGGAGACTCGCAGGGGTGAGGCAGAGTGAATTGTCCTCATTCTAGGAGACTCGTAGTGGTGGAGCAGAGTGAATTGTCCTCATACTAGGAGACTCGTACGGGTGAGGCAGAGTGGTGTCCTCATTCTAGGAGACTCGTAGGGGTGGGGCAGAGTGGCTTGTCCTCATTCTAGGAGACTCGTAGGGGTCAGGCAGAGTGAATTGTCCTCATTCTAGGAGATTCGTAGGGGTGGGGCAGAGTTGCTTGTCAATCTATGAGACACGTAGGGGTGGGGGCAGAGTGAATGGTCCCCATTTTAGGAGTCTCGTAGGGGTGGAGGAGAGTGAATTGTCCACATTCTAGGGGTGGGGGAGACTCGTGGGGGTGGGACAGAGTGAATTGTCCTCATTCTAGGAGACTCGTGGTGGGGTGGGGCAGAGTGGAATTGTCCTCATCCTAGGAGACTCGTAGGGGTGGGACAGAGTGAATTGTCCTCATTCCAGGAGACTCGTAGGGGTGGGGCAGAGTGAATTGTCCTCATTCTAGGAGACTCGTAGTGGTGGGGCAGAGTGAATTGTCCTCATTCTAGGAGACTCGTAGGGGTGGGACAGAGTGAATTGTCCTCATTCTAGGAGACTCGTAGGGGTGAGGAAGAGTAAATTGTCAGCATTCTAGGAGACTCGTAGGGGTGGAGCAGAGTGAATTGTCCTCATACTAGGAGACTCGTAGGGGTGGGGCAGAGTGGCTTGTCTTCAATCTATGAGACTCGTAGGGGTGGGGCAGAGTGAATTGTCCTCATTCTAGGAGACTCGTAGGGGTGGGACAGAGTGAATTGTCCTCATTCTAGGAGACTCGTTGGGGTGGGACAGTGTGGATTGTCCTCATTCAAGGAGACTCGTAGGGGTGGGGCAGAGTGAATTGTCGTCATTCTAGGAAACTCGTAGGGGTGGGGCAGAGTGAATTGTCCTCATTCTAGGAGACTCGTAGGGGTGGGGCAGAGTGAATTGTCCTCTTTCTAGGAGACTCGTAGGGCTGATGCAGAGTGAATTGTCCTCATTCTAGGAGACTCGTAGGGGTGAGACAGATTGGCTTGTCCTCAATCTATGAGACTCCTAGGGGTGGCCAGAGTGAATTGTCCCCATTTTAAGAGACTCGTAGGGGTGGAGGAGAGTGAATTGTCCTCAATCTAGGAGACTCGTAGGGGTGAGGCAGAATGAATTGTCCTCATTCTAGGAGACTCGTAGGGGTGGGGAAGAGTGAATTGTCCTCATTCTAGGAGACTCGTAGGGGTGGAGCAGAGTGAATTGTCCTCATTCTAGGAGACTCGTAGGGGTGAGGCAGAGCGAATTGTCCTCATTGTAGGAGACTCGTAGGGGTGGAGCAGAGTGAGTGGTCCTCATTCTAGGAGACTTATAGGGGTGAGGCAGAGTGAATTGTCCTCATTCTAGGAGACTCGTAGGGGTGGAGCAGAGTGGCTTGTCCTCAATCTATGAGAGTCGTAAGGGTTGGAGCAGAGTGAATTGTCCCCATTTTAGGAGACTCGTAGGGGTGGAGGAGAGTGAATTTTCCTCATTCTAGGAGACTCGTAGGGGTGAGGAAGAGTGAATTGTCCTCATTCTTGGAGACTCGTAGGGGTGGAGCAGAGTGAATTGTCCTCATTCTAGGAGACTCGTAGGGGTGAAGCAGAGTGAATTGTCCTCATTCTAGGAGACTCGTAGGGCTGGGGCAGAGTGGCTTGTCCTCAATCTATGAGACTCGTAGGGGTGGGGCAGAGTGAATTGTCCCCATTTTAGGAGACTCGTAGGGTTCGAGGAGAGTGAATTGTCCTCATTCTAGGAGACTCGTAGCGGTGAGGCAGAGTGAATTGTCCTCATTCAAGGAGACTCGTAGGGGTGGAGCAGAGTGAATTGTCCTCATTCTAGGAGACTCGTAGTGTTTAGGCAGAGTGAATTGTCCTCATTCTAGGAGACTCGTAGGGGTGGGACAGATTGGCTTGTCCTCAATCTCTGAGACACCTAGGGGTGGGCAGAGTGAATTGTCGTCATTCTAGGAAACTCGTAGGGGTGGGGCAGAGTGAATTGTCCTCATTCTAGGAGACTCGTAGGGGTGGGGCAGAGTGAATTGTCCTCTTTCTAGGAGACTCGTAGGGCTGATGCAGAGTGAATTGTCCTCATTCTAGGAGACTCGTAGGGGTGAGACAGATTGGCTTGTCCTCAATCTATGAGACTCCTAGGGGTGGCCAGAGGAATTGTCCCCATTTTAAGAGACTCGTAGGGGTGGAGGAGAGTGAATTGTCCTCATTCTAGGAGACTCGTAGGCGTGGTGCAAAATGAAGTGTCCTCATTCTAGGAGACTCGTAGGGGTGGGAAGAGTGGCTTGTCCTCAATCTATGAGACTCGTAGGGGTGAGGCAGAATGAATTGTCCTCATTCTAGGAGACGCGTAGGGGTGGGGCAGAGTGAATTGTCCTAATTCTAGGAGACTCGTAGGGGTGGAGCAGAGTGAATTGTCCTCATTCTAGGAGACTCGTAGGGTTGAGGCAGAGCGAATTGTCCTCATTGTAGGAGACTCGTAGGGGTGGGGCAGAGTGGCTTGTCCTCAATCTATGAGACTCGTAGAGGTGGAGCAGAGTGAATATCCCCATTTTAGGAGAATCGTAGGGGTGGAGGAG